GAGGACATGGGGACGGGCGACCAAGCGGCCTCACTGCAGCCACCGTTCCCGTTTCCCGGTAGAAACCAGTCCCGATTCCCTGCGGAAACCAGGGCCCCGTTCCCTGCTCTGCTCTCCCACCGCAGCCCGGCTGCTGTTGCCCTTACACCAGAGCTGCTGTTCCTCCTTCCCTCCCTGGGGCATCGCTCCAGGCCACCGGCTCCTTTACAACCCCGCCATGCCTCCTCGTCCCCTCCTACGCCTCCACCCCGGGGCGAGCAGAGCCGGGTCCCTCCCCGGCCGGCGGGTCCCTCCTGCATCCCTGCCGCCACGCCTGGGATGCTGTACCGCAAGAAGGGACTCCCGTTGCCGTGGCTTGGGACGGGGGCCCCCTGCCAACGCAAAGCCCGACGCACCATCCCCTTCACGAAACCAGACTCCCCGAGAGCCGCCTTGTGATTTCGGGGACTGGGGAGCAGGGACGCACGCTCCCCCTTCCTTCTCAGCCATGTCCCTCCCCAGCCATGAAAACCTCCTCCCCACCCCAAAAATCCCCCTCAAAAACATCACCCCAGCGCAGTCCCCTTCCCCATCAGCCCCATCAGCATCCCGGCTGCTCCCACAGCCCCGGCCACCTTCAGCTTCTCCAGCCCAGCGGTGGCTCCGGGGGGGAGCGGAGACCAAAATCGCCAATTCCACCTTTTCAGCCCCATTTCGCCATCAGCGGCGACGCCTTCGCCCGGCAGTAAGGGAGAGAATTCAATAACGTGTTTAACTCGTGACACTAAAAACTACCGGAGCAACGGACCCCGGGGCCACCGGTCTCCTCCATCTCACATAGAAAAATAAGTCCAATTTGCTTTATATATATATATATGAATATATAAATATCTATAGATATATATATATATAAATCGCAGAGGAAGCGCTGCGCGATACTATAGCGTGGTCTCACTGCCCATGTCCCGAGGTGGTTTTTCGGTGTCAGTGTCCTCATAGTCCGACTCCATCTCTATCTTCACCTGGGGCACGGCGCAGATGGGGTTTCGGGAGTAGTTAAATGCGGGAGACGACGGGCACGAAATCTTCAGGTGAAGCGTAATACTGAGGAGGAGGAGGAGAGAGGGAAGTGAGCATCCGGGCAGGGGTACCCGCATCCCAAAACCACCCCAGGACCCCCAGCAAAGGGCTCCGGGTAATGCTACCGCTAGTAAAAAATCATAGAAATATGATATTTTGCCTTTAATATGTACAATCTGCAGAATTTGCAGCAGCAGGGGGAGAATAATCCCAAGCTTTCGGGATTCAGATGTACACCCCAATCCTAAAAATCCCCGTGGCTGTTACCCAGCGGCATTTTTATTGCTATAAACCCTCTCGTGCCAGGCTTGGGATGCGTCATCCCACGCAGCCCCGCTCCCAACAACCCGACAGCCGGGGCCAGCAAACGAAAGCGCCCAAAATACGGAGGAATGCTGCAAAAATACACTCAGGTATTTCAGAAATGCCCGAGGATGATGGCAACCGGCTCGGGCGAGCGATGCTGAGCCGGGAGCATCGGTCGGTGACCCCCAAAATGTTTCCCGCGGCGGGTGCTGGTCCCCTGGGGCCGGGGGAGCGGGCCGTTTACCTGCGATCCAGGTCTGAACCGTTCGGGGAGGAATCAGAACGCAAAGCTCCAGGTGGAGGACCTCTTTCCTGGGGGGACACGGAGGTGAAACACTTCCCGGGTGAGGAAGGAGCCCCGCAAAAAACCACTTCCCCCCCCGCCTCCAACCTGCTCCCGGGTTCCAACATCCTCCGGATGGTGGGAAGAGGAGAAAAGCTCCCAAGAAACGCTGATTTTTGGGGCGATTAGAGAAAGAGAAAGGCCCCACCAGCCCCTGCTAGTGGCAGCTTGAGGAAAGAGTCAATGAATTATTGCGTCAAAACTTGCTGGCATCATGATGCAACCTGGTGCCGGGCTGGAATAAACTCACCCAGATTTATTCTGAATTTTTTTTTGGTCATGGCTGTCTTTGCACCAGCTCACGTACGATGTTTCGGGCAGAAGGTTGAGCCAAATTGAATATATCTGCTCTTTCGCAGCCGGGATAACGCCGCCACAAGCTCCGCATCCCCTGCTTTTGGGGGCTCAAAACCTTCCCAAATATGTATATATATTAAAAATCCCCATCAGCATCGGCTCAGGGGG